TTTTTTAAATGGTAAAATTTGTCATTGAAGGACAATAACTTCTATAAGTAGTCATCTGACAGGTTTAATGTAAAAGGGCAGTACGTAGATCTCAATATTCTGAACATTTCTGTTCCTATCAGATATTCTCCATCATGTCCATGGTGGATTCCAAGACAATAGACAAATCTTGCATTTTACTCATATGTTCTATTTTAAGTCATGTTGACAATGTTGGTTGTCAGGCAGGGTCATCGTTCACATTTTTTGAATACCCCAATGATGATTGTGGCCAAGTTTGGTTAAATTTGGCCCAGTTGTTTCAGAGAAGACTATTGTAAAGGTTACTAGACAAAGACGGACTACAAGTGATGAGGAAAGCTCAATTGGCACTTTGGGCCAGGTGAGCTGAAAAATAATTGCTCTACCAGTTGTATTATATTCAGCATTTATATATTTTTATCCTGAAAGGTGATAATATAAAAGCCAATTATATATATACAGTGAAAATTACATATATCTATTTAAAGCCTGGGATTTTTGGACAAAATCATAACATGTATTACATGATTATGGTTGTTGATAATTCACTTCTCTAAAATAGATCCCTCCTACTTTAAATTGTAATTACAAATGTAAGTACTCTACATAGGTTTATATGACAAATGTATGAAGGCAAGATAAACATGAGAAACAATATGCATTTACTGGTCATAGCATGATATTGAAAAAGAGGCTTCCATAAGCCTGTACAACTCAACTGGTTTGTATAAAGAACACTGACTTAATCATATAAACCATCCTGAAACAAGACAATCATTGTGATGTGCAATACACCATCATTTAGTCAAGATAGGCGATGTAGGTTCTGGAACTATTAGGAAATAAATTTTCTTTTTAGTAACAGACCAGATTGGAAGGTTAGCCATTGTTTGCAGATTCTTTAGATTTGAGGTTATTCTGAAATGGATTCATCAATCTAAGTTTTATTAAACTGACCATTTCAAAATACTGTCTCGCTGTAAAAAAAATATCTAGATTAAAATTCTTGTAAGTTCCTATGAGGCTAGCTATGTCGATCAATAGTCATTGTTGGCAGCCATTTTGATTATTTATTCATTGGAAACAACCATGATGAAACAATGTTAAAAACAAACATATATCTCACTTAACTTATATCAAATTGATCTGAACAACTATTTCATTTTAGAATTTCTATTTCTATTTTTCCCAAAGTTTTCAATTTAAATAAAATAATCAGTTATAATTGACTTACATCAAAACAACTGATCATTACCATGATTACTATCAATTTATTTGATTATGTTATTGATTGTGCTTTTATAGCGTGAACAGGAACATGAATCCATATATGACAAAAGATTACAAATGAAAAGTACATGTATGCTGAAAAGTTTACTGAATATGCACATCCATCTTGATTAATGCCAGATATATTGCATATTTGCAGCGATTCTACATGTATGTATATTTTGACCTTTTAAAGAAGACCCCAAGCCATTCATAGTATTTCTTTATAACCCATGACACGATAACTGATTATCATCATTCATTTTGTCATTTAAAAATTTTTAGGTCTGGTCCTGAATATGCATGAAATAATAACCCCTGGACGTTGAGCAAGCAACAATCAATCAATCAATCTTTAGTATGTGTTTATATATATTTATATAGTTGAGGCATAGTTATAACAGTTGTCAGAGGCATAGTTGTAACCTGTGTTCAAATCTCATTAATGCATTTTGTAAATACAAACCATGATTTTAACTACATGTATAAACGAAGTGAAAACCAATGTATCAACAAGGTGAGCATCTCCTGTTTTTCATAAATCTCATTTACAATATCAATATTGCATGTGATAGCTCCACACTTATTTTTGCACAACAAGCTAATTAAGACTATAATCCTAAACTACATAGACATGATCCTATGTTGTCATCCCAACCTTCTACTTGTGGTATTGAACCTTGTGGTACAATTTCAGAGCAATCAAACTACTTGTACACAAATTATTGTCCTGAAACTAGAAAAATGCTTGTTTTGGGCACCTTTTTGGCCCTAATTCCTAAACGGTTGGAACAATCACCCCCAAAAACAATCCGAACCTTCCTTTTGTAGTATTGAATCTTTTGGTTAAATTTCATAGAGATCCATACACTTAAACTAAAGTTATTGTCCGGAAACCAAATGTCTTCGGACGACGACGACGTGATAGCAATATACGACTGCAATTTTTTTTTTTGCGGTCGTATTAAAATCGCACCTGCTCTATCTCAAAAAGTTTATTACAGAGTAGTTTTCTACTATTGGAACAAATAATATCAAAATTATAGAAAAGTCTACCAGCTCTTACTCAAAATATTGACAATTCTATGTTAAGGGGGTCTAAATTTCAGTAAATGACAGCTTCACACATACTAATTTTTGAACTTTTTTAACTGGACCAAATCACTACTTAACATCAAGATTCAGCACCCAAATTTTTTGAACATGTAATTTCATCCCCTTACTTAATATTTGATGCATAAAATATAATTAAAGAAATAAATTTGGAAAGTGTATGAAAAAAATTTGCAAGTTATACAATGTCCACACTAGGGACTACATTTGTAGACAACGAAAATCAAAGGACGATAACTGTGTCCTCGGACCATCTGGGTGGAATGCCATTTTCCACGTAGTTCTATAGTTCTATAAACATGATAAAGTCTATAATTTTGAGATACAATGTATATACATGCATATGTCATTTTTACTAAATAAATGAGCTATTGAATTCATGAATTCAACTTGCATGTCTTGTATGCAAGTTCCTTGTATAACAATATGGTGAAGGTATTTATTCAAAAGGTAGATACACAACAGCCCGTGTGGATTTTGGTTTTTCGACCGGCCCACCGTGGGCAGTCCACCCGTGCCCACTCTAGCTATAATCTCTTTTTTGTAAAAATATCGATTACAAATGCTTATCTGCTTTTTTCAAGTGATTGTACTTGCAAGTCTTTAGATGAAACAAAAGAAATTGAATGCCCACTCCTACAGGTGGGCAGAGTGGACAAGGTACAAATTTTGCCCACCCGGTGCCCACTCCCATGGTGGGCCGGTGGACAAAGCAAAATCCACCCGAGCTGTAGTGTAACTCTGTCTAAATAAAAGTACTTAATTATTTTTTTTAAATTTGAAGTTTTCCAAATAATGTATTTACTTTTCAAATTTCTATTGTAAAAAAAACGATCCTTCAGAATTTTATTTACAAATTTATAGTCGTTATGATCAATAAAAGCTTGATAACACCATATAAAACAGAGTTTTTTAGGTAATATCTATTGGTTCTCGGTTCATCATGTTCATATTGAGTTTTTGAGAGTTGTCAGGAAATCGTTGTACCCTACATTGACTCAGTAAGGCTGGAAAGACATGAAAACCCATGAAGGCAAACTTGTTCTGCTCTCTGAATGCTCTAGAAGAATCAATGGCATGGGTTTTTAGAAATTTTCAGCCTTTGGACATAACTTTTGTAAATAAATTGAATTAATGTTTTTAATTATTTACTTTTAGGAAATCACTCGAGCCAGAATTCAGAATCCCAAAAGGGAAAAATGAAAGCAAGTTCAACTTAAAATTTGAAGTCTTGGTGAAACCCCTTCTTAAACATACTTCATTCTCATTCATAGGTAACAACTGGGTCATATAATATAAACTTTGATCTGATTTTTAGTGATTCTGACAACCTGGCCAAAACTCAATAAATTGCTTCGCCGAGCTCAGCTGGATACGCCTTCGAGTTCCAACCCTGAACAGTTGGGGCAAAAAATGGACACAATATTCGCGCTTGATACAGGTCTGAATTTGGATTGTAATTAAATATTTGACACATAATAGGTTTCTGACACAGAATAACTGTAGTCAAAGAACTTAGAATTGGTTATATGATTTGAATTTATATCCAATTTTTTGCTTTTGTGCAATACACTATGCTGTTGCGAATTGACCCCTCCCCTAAAAAAAATTTAAAAATTTTACCCTCCCCTCCCCCCCCCCCCCCATTTTTTGAAGAAATTTTATTTTTAATTTTTGAAATCTGAAATGAGAAAAAATTGTCCCCTCCCCTCACAATTTCTTTCTTACCCCCCCCCCCATTTTTTTTCACCTCCACCCCCACTTTTCCAAAAAAAAAAAAATTCTTTCCCTCAAGATATGGTCATAACCTCAATTCAAATTTCCAATGGAGTTTGCAACCATAATTACCAATTTAATTACATCATAAAAGTCTTAAAATAGAAAATGGCATAATAATCATGGCTAAAATTAATATTCCTTAACCAGCATTTTTAAATAGTAGCTTTTAAAAATAAATTGACAGCTAATCACCTCAAGACAATACAACATTTCTTGATACATAATTCAAAAGCAGTGTAAGGGAGGTAATCCAAACATAACATTGTACTTTTTTTTATTTGTCCATTAACCAGGAAACCCTTGTTTTCCCCCTAATTCCTAAACGGTTTGAGCCATAACCCCCAAAAGCCAATCCTAACCATCCCTTTGTGGTATGGAAACTTGTGGTAGAACTTCAGAGAGATCCATACACCGTTCCACAAGTTATTATCTGGAAACTAGAAAAATGCTTATTTGGGCCCCTAATTCCTAAACTGTTAGGACTATAACCTACAAAATCAATCCCAACCTTCCTTTTGACTTGTGGTTATAAACCTTGTGTTTAAATTTCATAGATTTCTATTTACATTTACTAAAGTTGTTGTCCGGAAACCAAATGTCTTCGGACGACGCTGACGACGACGACGACGTGATACCAAATTTTATTATATACGACCGCAATTTTTTTTGCGGTCGTATAAGAATGGCAAAATTATAAAAAGAATAAGGTTGGGGTGCGAGTAAGAATATATGTAAAATAATCATTATTGAAGGACCAAAAATTCTTCCTCATTCAACAAATACGTGATTTTGAGTGTAATTACTGACATTATTCTTACATGAATACTGCTAAATCAGTGACAAAGAGCCAGATACTGCAAAATTAAAAACATTTCCAGGGGGAAATCACTCCCGATTTACCGGAAGTTATGAAAAGCCAAGAACAAATATTTAAAAAATAAATATTGTGATCCCGACCCCGACCCCGACCACGACTCTTACCTTATGTCTCTTTTAAAGCCCCCCTTTAAAGATAAGATAAGATAAGAGAATCTTTATTTCAGTTTCAAAGTTCCACATATACTGTATTTGTGATTGTAACTGTATTGTCATATATGTATATGCACTTTGTCCCTTCAGGGTACCTTTTATGGAAATAAAAGATATTCTATTCTATATAAGTAACACAAAATATTCTGTCCAAACAGGATAAAATGCCAAAATATTTACGGTATTAATTATAGTTAGAAGTTAAGGTGTAACTCAGTGTACCATTTACCCTTTATGCTGAACAATAAATCATTACTTTTAAAACTCAAGTACGCCCTTTCGGATAATATAACACCAATTGATGGACCAACATAAAAAGAACTTAATGAAAAATCAATAATAATCGGAGATGTATAGCTAGTTACAACACACATTATCGCTACTTATTAAAATCACGAAAAAAAACTTATTAAAATAACGAAAAAAGGATAGTGGCCTACCAGAGACATTTAAACAATAGTAAGTAAGATCAGTGATTTTGATAGTAATGCAAATTTAAGGTCTGGAAAATTAGTATTAACATCAATACAATTTTATATACATAAACGAATTTCTTATGATATGTATATATATATATACTTGGTTCTTAGTTCTTGAAATTAATTAATTATTTATTCACGGTTTACACCGACTTGGAACCTTAAATTCTTACATAAAAAAAAATCATAGCACAGTGTCAAATTATTATTTTAGTTTTGTCCAGTCTCTTTTTAGGCGGGACCAGATACATTATTTTTTTATGATTTATTTTATTTTTATGTTTAATTTATTGATTATTATGCTGTTTGAATTCCTACCTTAAGTGCCCCCCCTGAAGTTAAAAATCAACTTTTTTATAATTTCTAATTATAATTATTTGTGTATCAGAAAAGATGTGTGTGAAGGCATTAGGTACACTTAATTATAATTCCTAATTAAGTTACTTTTTTCATAACAACTCAGTGAACTACTTCAACGTAAATGTCCATACTTAGTAAAAAACGTTAAATAACCCTATTAGAGCCCTTTCAAAGTTAAACCGGAAGTTGACATTATAAATCAAAAATAGATTATCTTCTCTTGAATTGTCATTTCGCTGCTGACCATGACATCATCGAGAATAAAAAGACAATAATAACAGAGAAAATAGCAAGAAAATGGTAATTAAAATTAAGAACTTATAAAATCTTGTTTCAAGGCACCAGAGATGTAACAGTAAAGCCACAAGGAAGTTGAAGCACTTGAATAATCAGGTTGTCACAAATATAAACGTAAACAGATAAAACGACTGCTTGAGAAAAATTGAATTGTATCCGTTTGGTTTTCTTTGGTAGTTTTATTATAAAAACACTGTATATTAATTTGTATCAATTTTCGTACTACTGTGAAAGCAAATGGGTCTCACTAATTAGCGTCATGAAGCGACAAGAAGAATAATTTAGCGACAAGAAGAATAATTTAGCGACAAGAAAATAAATTTTGCGTTAAGATATCTAAATAATGATAATTTGAAACAAATAGATATAGAAACATGCATTAAAATGTGTGTGGTTTTATCTTAAATATACGAGAATTTTCAATATTTCATGATACCTATATGTCTCTGATGATACTGAGCGAAGAAAATAATGTTCTTATAACGAGTCGGCATGGTTAATATATCAAAGGTTCAAACCAAATTCTAATATTTTTATTTCACTAAAAAGGTCCATATATATATAAATATATATATAGGATGGCACATGGGATAATTGTTACAAATGTTCTGACAGATTGATACATACATTAAAATATATAATGTAATAAAATAATTTTTACTAAAAATTCATTAAAAGACTATATTGTACCTAGTGGTACTAAATCTAACAAACATTGGAACTTTATAAAACAGCAAATAATCAGCTGTAATTAATTGAATTATTCCATATTTTTTTTGTTTTAATAGCTAGTATTTAAACTTTTTTTGTCGCTAATTTTTTCTTCTTGTCGCTAATTAGTGAGACCGAAGCAAATAGTCCACAAATATGTTGGTCAAACTATCCCCCAACACAACTTTGACAATGAGATTAATCTACAGACATCAAATCAATCTGAGCAGTCTCTCTTTCAGTTCATCGAAGCATTTGCAATTTGTATAAATCAGCTGTGGAGAATGTGCTATAGCAAATACAATTAGATATGACATTCTAAACAAAATTAAAAATAAATTAAAAAATGCAGGCCTTCTAACATGAACATGTCTAATAAGTTAATCCAAATTCATGACCAGGTTAAACTGAAGAAATTGGTATTCTTTGTTTCTTAAGATAATATACAACATGTTTGGTGACAGGGTCTACAGAAAAAAGGCTTGGACATACTTGTATTGGAGATAGAATGATATGTATTGATATGGTCACATACCTTCCATTCAAATAAAAGTCTAGTGAGATATTGCATTTCTTTGTGTGTTTAAAATGTGGGTTATTTCAAGTGTATGTCTCACTCAATTAACATTCATTTCCTTGGTATGTATACTGCATGACATATTTGATGCTGAACACTTAGCTATTGTCAATCAATCAATCCAATTAAAGTATATGTATATTTTCAGAGTTGAGACATGGCTTACAGAACACTGGAACGGGAAGCAAGTTTTGGTATGATTACAATAGAAAATGGCATAATGAAACAGGCTTTATATTCAAATTGCATTTTGTATATAATTATCTAAACAAACATTTTGCAATGTGTTTTGAATGTCAATGAGACAGCATCCTACAGCAATATAACTAAAAACTAAAAAAGTGAACATTTGGTCTATCTATTCCATATAGACAAATACCATATGTCAAGCTTTAAATCACCTTTTGTCTAGGATTAAACTTTAAGGGAGACAGCAAACAAACAATAATACAATTCAAACAGACATCTAGAGATTATCATTCAGTCTTCAATAATAGACAAGTGTCAGAACTTTTATACAATGAACCATATGAATACCAAACTCTACAATTACATGAAGCATACATTTGTACTTGTGAAGTCTATTATAGTTAATGGAGATGGATCCAGATACTTTTTACAAAGTTATTTGCTTAAAAGGGGGTCGGTCAACTTAGGTCAGTTATCTTTCACTTGTACATATAAGATTTACATCCTGAACAGATCATAAGATGCAGATCCCATGGATATGCTGTTTATTTATCCTGAGAGAGATTATAAGCTCATCTTTACAAAGGAAATGTGAGCTTTTGCCATTACATGGCGTCCGTCGTCGTCGTAGTCAGCCATCAATTTCAAACATCTTCTCCTCTGAAACTACTAAACCAATTCCAACCAAACTTAAGCTGAATGATCCTTAGGGTATCTAAAATAAAGTTTGTGTTTTATTTTCTGTTTCGTCAAAAAACATGGCTAAAAATGGAACATAGGGGTAAAATGCAGTTTTTGGCTTATATCTCATTTTAAAGCATTTAGGGCAAATCTGACTAGGATAAAAATGTTCATTAGGTCAAGTTCTATCAGCCCTGAAATTTTCAGATGAATCTAACAACCCATTGTTGGAAATTTTGCGGTCGTTTATTGGTATGACGTTGGCGTCATCGTCGTCTGAAGACACATTGGTTTTCGCACTCTAACTTTAGTTTAAGTGAACGGATCTCTATGAAATTTTACCATAAGGTTCAATACCACAAAAGGAAGGTTGGGATTGATTTTGGGGGTTATGGTACCAACAGTTAAGGAATAAGGGGCCAAAAATAAGCATTTTTGTAACTTTCAGACATAACTTGTGTGTTAGTGTATGGATCTCTCTGACATTGTACCACAAGGTTTCATATCACAAAGGGAATGCTGGGATTGATATTGGGGTAATTGCCTCAAATTTTAGGAATAAGGGGCAAAAAACAAGCATTTTTCTAGTTTCATGATAATAACTTGTGTGTAAGTGTATGGATCTTTCTGAAATTGTACTACAAGGTTCCATCTCACAAAGGGAAAGCTGGAATTGAGTTTGGGGGTAATTGCCCAAAATGTTTAGGAATAAGGGGCCAAAAATAAGCATTTTTCTAGTTTCCAGACAATAACTTTAATTGTGTTCAAGTGTATGGATCTCTCTGAAATTGTACTGCAAGGTACCATACCACAAAGGGAAGGCTGGGATTGATTTTGGGGGTAATTGCCTCAAAATTTTAGGAATTAGGGGCCAAAAAGGGGAAAAAAACAAGCATTTTTCTAGTTTCATGACAATAACTTGTGTGTTAGTGTATGGATCTTTATGAAATTGTACTACAAGGTTCCATATCACAAAGGGAAAGCTGGGTTTGAGTTTGGGGGTAATTGCCCTAAACGTTTAGGAATTTGGGGTAAAAAAGGGGCCTAAAAACAAGCGTTTTTCTAGTTTCCAGACAATAACTTGTGTTCAAGTGTATGGATCTCTCTGAAATTGTACTGCAAGGTACCATACCACAAAGGGAAGGCTGGGATTGAGTTTGGGGGTGATGAATCACAAGGGGGTTCAAAATATTTGGGGGAGGGATTTTTTTTTCCTTTTTTTTTCTTTAAAATTTTCCGTTTTAAATTGGTTATTTCTGATTTATATATAAAGGCAAATAATAATGATATGGTTTGAATAGGTAAATTAGATTTTTTTTAAGTTCTTAGACCACATTCATTCTGTGTCAGAAACCTATGCTGTGTCAAATATTTAATCACAATCCAAATTCAGTGCTGTATCAAGCTTGAATGTTGTGTCCATACTTGCCCCAACTGTTCAGGGTTTGACGTCTGCGGTCGTATCAAGCTGCACCCCGCGGAGCATTTTATTGGTTATTATCTTGAATATTATTATAGATAAAGATAAACTGTAAACAGCAAAAATGTTCAGCAAAGTAAGTGCTACAAATAAGTTTTATATGACCAAAATTGTCCATTGTCCCCTTAAGGAGTTATTGCCCTTTAAAGACATTTTTTTCACAATTTGTTCATCTTGTTTGCTTTCTTTAAAAAATCTTCTCCTTTGAAACTGCTGAATCAATTTCAGCCAAATTTGGGCTGAATGAGTTTCAGAGTATCTAGTATAATTTTTTAATTTTATTTCCTTGTACGTCAATGCAAGAAACATAGCCACTATGGCTAAAATGGAACATAGGGGTAAAATGCATTTAGCTTTTGAGGAAAATATGACAGATACAAAGAACATTTAAATGGCATTTTTAAGCCACTCATTAATATATATTGAAAAGCAAAAATAATCATTGATGAAAGATTTAAGCAAAAAATTACAGGTGAGCGATTCAGGCTCTTGAGAGCCTCTTGTTCTAAACATTTTAGAAAAAATGAAGCTTTAATCTATTGAAAGAATGATTTTTTATTTGTACAATTTTTTTATAAAATGTCTGTAATTGGAACACAACACATGATAGATACATATATATGTGTTTATGTATTGTAACTTGTCTTAACTGAATCCTATGATGTCTGAAAATTTTGTCCAGATTAGACACATATTATGTTTAGTACAGGCTGTTGTGTATGTAAACTTTACATACATGTATGTGAAATAATGAATGATTCTCTTCTGTTTGTTCTGATACAAGAGGTTAATTTGCACAGGTTTCTGTTTTATGACAAGTTCTGTTTAGAAAAGTTCACTGTTAGGGTTGATTTTTCAAACCATGAAACTTTACACTCACCAATATACAAAATGATATAGCTACATTGTATAGACTAAAAGTATTTTTCACAGTACTACTGTTGTGTCATTGTATATGACATTGAAACTTACCTACACAAATTATCTTTGAACAAAAAATTGTAAAGATTAGACCGGTGCTTAGTTTAGTTTACTAAAAAGTTAAATTACTGAATAATATTCACTGTACATCAATATCCAAGAGATGATATGTGTACCATATTTACAAAACAAGAAATATACAAATCATGGCTGGTTAATTTCATTTTGCATTTTTGTAGCTTACATTTTTTTTTTTTTTTTTTGTACATTACCAGATTCAACTGACAGTTTACTCCAAGAGAATTTTTTTTTTTTTGCAGCCTTTGGATCCACCTCCTCCTGTCTTGATGGTGTTCCGTTTACCATAAGTTCACAGTTTCAGGTCCCAAATAAGGTAAGATATTTGATCAATAGAAGTATATACCAAGGTTGGGCGGTAAATACCACCCCCGGTATTTACCAGTGGTATTTACCGGTATTTACCACCCTGGTCAATACTCCTCAAGTGGTCAATACTGGCAAATACTGGACAATTGAAATTTTCATGGTTCTTTTGACAGATTTTACTATCAATGTTAGTTAAATCTTAGTTGATAGGGGAAATTATTTTAACTTTATTCATATGGCATGATTCAGTTTATAAAAAGGATTGATATTGGTATGTTTTATCAATTATTAGCATGAATAATAACTTATTCAGTTCTTATGGGTAATGATATAACATAGTTTAGGTATGAATATAAAATTGCTATATCAGTTATTTCAACATGTATAAAATATGTATATTTTTTTCTTGAAAAGGTTTGATTTTAACAGGTAAATAGAATTACAGGTGACTAGATTATCAGGGCATTACCTATTAAATGGCAAGCAGGTGTCAAAAGTTTATTCAATATTACAACTGTCCCCTAATAAATGTTGACATAACAGGAAAAAAGTCATAAAAGTTATTTTTGAAGACTGTTTAAAACAATTATTTTATTCCTGACTATTCAACTGCATGATAAATATCTTCTAAAACTAAATCATGTAAATACAGAAAATGGAAATTTTGAAGGATCTATACTTTGGCTGCTGTTTTTCTTTTTCTTTAATTTTATTCTAATAATCACTGTCCATGATGTGTTCATGTATAATTTCAATTTATATAAGAAAAGATAACATTAAAAAAGTCTAATTTTGACTTGAAAACTTTCATATTTTCATGACTAACAGTTATTGAATGTAGGGCTAAATATCACAGGACAGAAAGTCACAATGCAATTTTGAAAGAACTATTTCTTTGATTAAGAAAAGACTAATTTTTAAGACATTGTTTTATTACATTTGCTGAAATTACTGTTAAGAAAACAAGCTGTCATAGTCTTTTTCTTGGCTGGCTTCATGGTACCAAGAAATATCCTTTGTAGGATTAATATTTAATAAATCTTCATTTAACCATGTTCATTATCAATCTCATAAACATTACAATGAATTCATTTCAAGGATTTTCCCTTACATATTTAAACACTTGTAAACTAATTAATTGTGAGTTTTTGTCCTTTACAATGTAGTAAATAAGTGACTTTCTGTCCTGTGAATATATTTGTCCATTTACCCTGTAGTTGACCAGGTAGGGACTGTATTTAATAGTAATATCTTATCAAAATTTCAATTGACCAGTATTTGCCAGTATTGACCAGTATTTGCCAGTATTTCCCGGTATTTACCGGTATTTACCGCTGGCCTGGTCAATACTAGTATTGACCGCTTTTTTGCCAACCTTGGTATATACAGAGATAAGTTATCTTTGGTTAAAGCTGATTACTTATAAGAGCTATTCTATTACAAAGAATGTAGGAGGTTAGAAAGGGAAACTTATTTTAGACATGGTTTGTAAGACAATTTATGGTTATATATTAATTTGATGTATGCAAAATTACATGTTAGTGGTTGGGGAATTCAAAGTCTGTTCCTTCCCTCCCACATGCATTTTTATGGAATAACCCTATTGCTGCCCTAATCATATTATATTGACTTAAGTAGATGGATTTTTTTAGCATTTTTAAGAGTAGAGTAAATAAAGTGACCCTTATCCAATGAGAATTATAGCAAAATCATGTAGAATCCCCCCCCCCCCCCCCTCCAAAAAAAAACGGTTTATCCCTTTGATTTCGATTTCAAATCTAGCAGTTTTGTAAATAAAAGTTAACCTAAAGCATATAAAGGGCAACATACAATCTCATACAATAGAAAGATGTCTTTACACTATGTTAATCTCTAAAAAGTTCTCAAAAAGTTGAGCAATTTAACAAGAAACTATGGAAGAACTACCATCAGCAAAAATGATCAACATCAATTTCCCCAAACAACAAGTTTATTTCTAAGTAGCTGATTGAGCTGTATCAATCAAATTGGTATTCTGATACCAAATCCTATCTCCTCAGTCAACAATGAAAACAAAAAACAGGAACAGAATCCAACTAGCAAACCTTTATGTATCCATCAAAATGGTATTATGACACCTATTCTAATCTCCTTAGAAAACAATGGAAACAGAACAGTAGTAGGAACTAGCTATCCTGTAATATCAAAGGTCTCCCATCAATAAAAATTATCAACACCAAAGGTCTCCCATCAATAAAAATTATCAACACCAAAGATCTGCCATCAATAAAAACTATTAACACCAAAGGTCTGCCATCATTAAACATTATCAACACCAAAGGTCTGCCATCAATAAACATTATCAACACCAAAGGTCTGCCATCAATAAACATTATCAACACCCAACGATCTGTCATCAATGAAAACTATCAACACCAAAGATCTGCCATCAATAAACATTATCAACACCAAAGATCTGCCATCAATAAACATTATCAACACCAAAGGTCTGCCATCAATAAACATTATCAACACCAAAGGTCTGCCATCAATAAACATTATCAACACCAAAGGTCTGCCATCACTAAACATAATCAACACCCAACGATCTGTCATCCATTAAAACTATCAACACCAAAGGTCTGCCATCAATAAACATTATCAACACCAAAGGTCTGCCATCAATAAACATTATCAACAATAAAGGTCTGCCATCAATAAAAACTATCAACACCAAAGGTCTGCCATCAATAAACATTATCAACACCAAAGATCTGTCATCAATAAACAATATCAACACCAAAGATCTGTCATCAATAAACACTATCAACACCAAAGATCAGCCATCAATAAACACTATCAACACCAAAGATCAGCCATCAATAAACACTATCAACACCAAAGATCTGTCATCAATAAACATTATCAACACCAAAGATCAGCCATCAATAAACATTATCAACACCAAAGATCTGTCATCAATAAACACTATCAACACTAAAGATCTGCCATCAATAAACATTATCAACACCAAAGATCTGCCATCAATAAACATTATCAACACCAAAGATCAGCCATCAATAAACACTATCAACACCAAAGATCTGTCATCAATAAACACTATCAACACCAAAGATCAGCCATCAATAAACATTATCAACACCAAAGATCAGCCATCAATAAATACTATCAACACCAAAGATCAGCCATCAATAAACACTATCAATACCAAAGATCTGCCATCAATAAACAATATCAACACCAAAGATCTGTCATCAATAAACATTATCATCACCAGAGGCCTGCCAGTGTTCTCCCCAGGGCCTTTTAGCATCATGGTAATGTGATGCTATCTGAAATTAGTTTCTTATAGATAGTGTTATGGATGGTATTTCATAATTTCCTGTTTACCAGGATGATATAAGAAATTTCTGAGGAGAACACTGTCTGCCATCAACAAAACTGATTATCACCTAAGGTCTGCCATCAATAAAAATTATCAACATTAAAGATCTGCCATCGACAAAAATTATCAACACCAATTTTTCTCAACAACTCATTGGAATGTACAAATGTATCAGACATAAACAATATACATTCCATTTTGAAGATTGACTGTCTTTGTATTAAGTACTCCATATATCATAAAGCCTTTCATTATTCAAAGTGAAAAAAGTTTTAGAAAGTATTTACTTTTTCAGGTTAGGTTACAGGCAGATTTTCTGAGAAGTCCAAAACATGCCAGGGAAGAGGTAAGTCAGTCTGTAATTATAACTTATTATAACATATTTTTTATTTTTTTCGTCCACCATTGAAATATTTGTAAGAACCACGAATCGGAGGCGGTATTCATGCCAAGTGGATCACCTATGACAGAAATCTGTATTCTTATGATAATAACTACAGACACACGAATGGAAGAGCTGGCAGAAGAATAATGATTCCAAAAGTAAAAATTACTCATTCCACCTGCATTAACAGACTTTTGGTTAGATCTCATTGCTAAATGTATATATTTTTATGTAAATGCATTGTTTAATTTATTGATCAAAGTTGCTTAACTTTGTTAAATTTATATATCTTTTTAATGAGAAACAATGAATTTCATAAACATGATTAATAGAATAGTTTTTTGATTGGATTTTAATTGATATTTGATACTTTCTTTTCCTTTTTGCGATATAATTAGTTGGTAGTACTAGTTTCTGAAAAGAGGAAAAAATATAATTGTTTAAATATAAATGATTATTTAAGACATAAACTGAAACAACTGTTACTTTAATTGTATTACCAGGTATGAATATAAAAAATAGATATTATATGGATGGATACATATGGCTCTTTATATTATGGTAAAAACCTTGAAGTGCCTTGAGTGAACGAGCACTTCTCTTTTAAGTCTCACCACTTCTCCCTATCATTGTCAAAAATAGAAGTCTCTTCTCTTATGTTTCTGAAGTAGTGTTAGGCCTGTTAAGGTTTGTGTATCTTTTAAACTTGTAAATGCAATTGCACTTACTTTTGATTAAAAACCACCGTTTTGCTTAAACATAGTGATAACTTAATAATATTTTTCAGTATAACTTTGAGATTGAAGAAGGTGTTATGAAATGGGCCGAAGAAAGGGAAAGAGCAATTGAGAGAGAACGCCAGATACAAGCACAAAAAAGACTTGAGGAAGAGATCCAAGCTGGGAAAGTTAACAGTTGCCCAATAAGAATAACACAGGAGGAATCAGATTCTGAACCAGAAGATGAATGGCTGAAAAGTAAATCTCAGAATACTAGTTTCCCAGGAGATCCACAAAATACTGCACGTGAAAAACCAAAACCTCCACCTCGTCCTCCTCAACCAAGAGGTCCTGTGATAAGTAATGGTATTTTGACACCAATTCCTATCTCCTCAGCAAACAATGAAAAAACAGTGTCAGGAACTAGTAAACCTGTAGATGTAACCCTATTTGAAACAGAAGATAATCCTTTTGATATGTTTGAAAGACAGACTTTGAACGATTTAGAGGAGTTGAAAAATGTGTTCCAATGTACAAATCAAACGACTAGTGTCACTAGTACGGAACCACTTGATGATACACAGCAAACCTTCAGAAATACAAGCTCACAATTCATTGGAAATGGACAAAATGCTGTAACAGGGAATTCACAAATGTCTGGAGATAATTATGAAAATATTCATTTTAGTAACGGTCAAGGTCCCAATGGAAGATGTGTTTCCAGTGGTGCTAATATAAACAATGCATTTAGCAGCAGTCCCGAGCCTACTGATAATGCTGGAGATTATGTAACACTAAAAACCGAACCTGAGCATCCAAATAAAACATCCCAAATGGACTTGAATAAATTACCCCCAGTTCCTCCTCGGAGATTTTTAGTCAGCAATGATCCCCTCCCACCAATAAATTATCAAAGTGATAGAAGTGCAATAGCTAATCAACCCCTACAACAAATGACTGTCAATAGTACAAATTATGGAAATTTCAATTCTGTAGAACCTAATCCATTTGCATTAGACACATTTACAAACGCTCATGCAACTGAATATGAAAACACAAATAAACCATACTTCAAACCATTAGATTCTGATATTCCTAGTTATGAAAATATTGACATTCAAAGTGAAAGAGTTGTGTTTAGTAAGAAAAGTGAATCTTCGCTATCACATGAGTCATTATTAAAGACTGCATCAAAAACAAATGCATCTAGTTATGTAAATGTTGCTCCCGCAGCGCCATTTAATGACAGTTCAATACGAAATGCCAAAAGTTCACCGGATATTGTCAAAACCGTGAATGGTGTGGAAAATTCTAGTGAAGTGTTTGATAGAGCACCATTTCCACTGTCAAAATCTCCACCATACAGACCTTCATCACAACAGGTTGGTACTACATATCATGCCATTGTATAAAAAAATCTTCCTTTATGATGAATGTGGTTTTCTTTTCTATGCTAGTAGCTAACTTTGATAAAATAAAGATGAGTAGAAATACTACGGAAGCCTTTTAGGGCCATGCTAATGTCTTGATTTTATGAAATAGAAAGTTAAATTTTTTAAGCATCCTCATTTTTTTTATAATTTAACGTACAAGTGTATAGAATTTTTTCTTTTTTTAAGTAAAACGTTATTTTTTAGGATCTTGTAAAACAAAATTTATATGTTGACTTGCCAGTAAGTACTCATATATCTCTGATCTATCTGATTATAGGATTGTTTTCTACTCTAGATCCTTAAAGATTTATTTTATTTCTTAAAAGATCAAAATTACAGAAAAAAGAAACCAAAGTCTGTACAGTCAAAGGAAATGAATGTTCAATAAAAACTATTTTTAATCACCTGTATTTTTCAAGTGAAGTCAAAAATACATGTTCATTATGCATGTTATGTGCTATAAAAAAAAATTCATCAAATTTCATTATGCATGTATGGCTGCTTTAGTAAAGATCTTATGACCAACAGATGAATTCAAATGACAATTTTTAAACCAATGAAATAGTCTATTTGCCAATTACGTACTTCACCTGGTAATTAGAGATCCGTTTGTACAATTATTTCCTTTAGAAGGGACATAAATTTACATTGATGATGTAGAGCTAGAGGACAGTGCAAATTTATTTGTGCTTTAATTTATGTGTGTAATCTTAAGTTTTCCAAATATTTTATTTTTATTATTTACATTCAATCTTTTATTAAGATAAATGTTTTTAGTTATTTTTCATTAAAATTGGTTAAAATGCCTATATATCCATTCAAATTATCAGGCTTTGCATTGGTAGTAGCCCATTTTGTCCAGCTCAGAATCAGTCTACAATTGACAAAGGGAGACAACTCTGTTAAACGTGTGTAATAACAGTAGTTGGTGAATTGACTATTAAGGTGGATGGGGTGTCTTCCTCCATCTTGGATTTTGAAATACCAGAAAATAATCGGTCTAGACCTTTAATAAAATGTGCAAATTTTGAGAGTAGTGGGTAATTCATGTGTAAGAATTTTCATTCTAATATAGAAAATGACATGTTTTATTATATTTATGGTTGTATTTTACAAAAAACAGAATACTTTTGTTTGATTCAATTTTTTCCAACTTTGCCACATAAGGGGAGGCAACTCAAATGAAAGGGCAGATAATTCAGATAAAGTTACTTTTACAATAGAATGTGTTAGGAATTTATCTATTTTATTATGTAGCAAGAAAACGGGCCCGGTGACCCCATTTTTTCTTTTTCTTATCTGAAAGTATAATATTAGGGCTATCTACTCATATTTTATCTCAAATATCTATGGTGTAGTTTTCGTTTTATGGCAGAAAATTGCGTTTTCCATGCATAATCTATACAAAATCTGTTAATTTTGCACAACCTGTAGCGTGAAATTAAGCCCCGTGACCCATTCTTTTTATTATTTTTTTCAAAAAAGCATGATATAAACTACATTTTGGCAAATTATTAAAAAATTCTATGGATTATAATTTAGACACCCCATCTACCTTAAGACTGTTTTAAACATTGAAGTAACATCATTAAAATTACCACAAAATTGATAAAGGAGTAGAAAACTGTCTGTTTAATTAGAATCCTTCTACATTGTATATTATATCCTAGAATAGTTCTGTACTAATTAGTATCCTTATTAACTTGTACTGTATCTAATGATGTCGTCATTGCACTATACCATGTATACATTATGTGTATTTCTTTGTTACATTACCTTCTTGGACAATTTCCAGAGATAAAAAATTTTTATGGACACAAATTGGACACCTTCCATCACATCTAACTTTTGCAGATTTGTTTACATTTTTTTAACATGTTGACCTTGATATTATAAAACATTTTTTGTATAAGTGACTTAAGGAATGTGCATCGTACCGCCATATGTATCGATAGTCATTAATTACATGGCCATTGACCGTGTTAATGCAATGATTATGTGTAGAAACTGATGTTGACATTCTGGTGTTACTCTGGTCAAAAAGAATTGTTTCAACCTATTATTACAAAAATTTAGTTACAGGCCTACATCGTTAAAACTCATGTTTATATTTTCATTACATTGTGCTTACAAATAAAATGCATGTATATATATATATATATAAACAAGTATATCGGTGTTTTCATTTTTTTTTATTACTATATTTTGTGTACATGTATTTCATGTATTTGTAGTTTGTACCAAACAAAATTAATAATTTATCTCCTAGCTTTATTTGTATGAAACATTTTGTAAAAAGCATATTAGGAAATGTCTTTATTCACATCATTTTTGAACTACTAATAAAATTTAAAATGAGCATTGAGCAATGTTGAGGTTGATTGAAAAAGATTGTGGTAATGTATTTTGAAAGATGCGGGGACTGATATAGAGTAAAAGTGGATTTACATTTAGTCATTACTGAATTGTTTAAAGGAAAAATGTTTGGTTTTACTTAATAAACGTCATATACATTTGTAGCTTTGGCATGTTTGGTGAAGGATTTAAATGTTTAATATGCTAATCATGTAGTTTAGTTAACAAAATAATAGTATAATCATATAATATGCTAAATTCATTGAACATAATAAGTCGCATACATATTCAAATGTAGAATATTTATTTACATGTACAATGTATTTACATTTTATTTACATGTACAATGTATTTACATTTTATTTACATGTACAATGTATTTACATTTTATTTACATGCATGTATTTTTGTGTATTTAAATAATCAGCTAAGTTCTTTTTACTTGGGTATACATACATGACATATAGTGATCTTGACAATATTACATATGAATACATATGGAAAATCATTTTAAGAACCACAAACATGACAACCAAATATGTTACTTACACCTTTTTACCAAAATCAATATGGCATTCAACATTTCTTGTTTTTCCAATCATCTCTATTTTTGATGTAGACCAAATAAGGTTATTCTTCACATCAGATAACATGTATACATGTATTAGGCTGAGTAATACTCATAAAACCTGTTTTTTTGCCAATCTTTATTTGATAAAGCCAGATAAGCTTTGAAATAGAAATGCAGAACCTTATTTTTGGAAGGAGGACTCTTGTTTTAACTTCCCTCTTTTATTTTTGTAGCATAAAGTTCCTAACATGATCTATTGGCTAAGATTCCAACCCATTTGTATATCAAGTATAGTAAACAATATTCATGTGTAATGATTTCTCTATATTTTTCAGTCATGGAACAAATACTCTCCCCTTCCTTCCCCATCAGGAGCATCAAACAACAGTAGTAGTACAAGTGACTTCGCTAGTCCATCCGAGGTGGATCCATATCTTAAACTCACCCCTGAGCTTCAGGGGGTTGTCAATAATCTAGTCGGTATGGGATTCTCTCGACCCAGAGTTGCTCGGGCTGTTGAAAATTTTGGCTGTGACGAAAAAGAGGTAAGAAAAGTTTACTTTTAATGTGGTACTGTAGTAATATAATATTTTGTAGGTTACTTACATATTGTACATATATCAATCTTAAGTATTGTAATTATTAAAAAGGCACATCTATGGATTTACAATGCATGCATATGCTAATGTAACAAGAGCCAGAAGTGAGAGAGAATATTTCAATATGTTTGCATTAAAAAGTTGTGTCTTTTGAAATAATTTCTGACCAGTCTGGTCTGTATTGAGGATGCTTTCAGTTTGTTTCTTGAGAAATAAATTTTCGATGTCTTTGAATTTCTTAGCTTATGAATGAAAAATTGCCATTGCATCAATTTGATAAAAATGAAAAAGTAATGATGACAAAAGCAACTGTTTGAACACTTGAGTAACAAGATATATATTTTGGAAGTTGTGAAAATCAAAGGGGTGTACGTAGGGGAAAGTGAATTCTTCAACCTAGTCACCCAATAGTTAGAAAACATACTATCAGGGTTCACCATAGTCTATACAATAGATTGTTGATAGTACATGCGTAATGAGAATTTAATAAATAGAGCATGACTTTATTTTTTTGTAGATTGTTGATCATTTATTCAGTGTAGATAAGATGACAGAAGTTGGTTATGATACATACCAAAGTGAATTGGCATTAGTTCTGCATAAAAATGATAAACAAAAGGTTCGTTATATGATACTATAATGTACATACATATATATGTTCACAAACAGCTTGACCTACTCTCAAGGACACTATGATTATGACACACACTTACTATAAGGATCACAGACTTAATATCCTATCTTTCATTACCTTTAATCCTATATCATGTCCCTGTCTAATCACAATTAAAAACCTCTCCCTTAAACAAACAATTTCATTATCATATTATCATTTAACTGTAAAATTAACCCTAACCTGGAAATATTAGGATTTCTTAAGTTAGAACATGTTCAGTTATAAATAAGAACTGGGAAATAACCAAATAAGAATGCTGGGTCATAATGTAAAACTGATTACAATGCAATGTGCAATAAAATTACATTCATACACATAAAGAATTAAATCACATAAAAATTTCAAATCATCATTGTCCTGACTAAGCTTTAATACTTATGTATGTTTATTATTTGTACAACTACAAACAAATCTACCTGCATAGTATGAGTCATAATAAACAAATTATAAATAGCACTGATGCAACACTATAAGTAGTCTATTCTAATTCCTTAGCCTTTTTATAATCTTATTATTTCATAGTACAGTCAAACCTGCTATACCATGTATAAAGTTCTTCTCAATTAAGTGATAACCTGTATTGTCAGGTCAGCCACAACTTGTCACGCTTGTAATACATATCCATTTTTAAACTCTATTCAAAAGTCACCTTTCTTTTATAAGATCAGTTTTCTGTATACATATTTAAATTAGTTAATACATGTATATAAATAAGGAGATGTGGTATGATTGCCAATGAGACAACTATCCACCCAAGTTCAAATGAAGTGGATGTAATAAACTATAGGCAACCCTACAGCCTTCAACAGTGAGAAAAACTCATACCATATAGTCAGCTATAAAAAGCTCTGACATGAAAAATATGAAACAATTCAATTTAGAAAAGTAACGGCCTAATTTATTACAAAACAATTTATGAAAAACAAATATGACAGACATGAACTAACAACCACCACTGAACTTCAGGCTCCTGACTTTGGACAGGCACATAAAGAGTGTGATGGGGTTAAACCTGTTTGTGAGCGCTCAACCCTCCTCTAACCTGAGACAGTGGTGTTACAGAACAACATAAGAACAAACTATAAAAATCAGTTGAAAATGGCTTCACTCATCAGATCGATACAAAGCAGAAAAACATTTTAACAAAAGCACAGACTGGACGTGGCAGGGTATTTATACATCCCTAATAACAAAAGACACAAAGTACAGATCTGAGAGTACTTCATTTTTCACAATTTATTCTCATTTTAGGCAGAAGCATACTTAAAGATATTCAAACAATTCCAGGAGTTGGGATTCAGTGGTGACAGAATAAAAGAAGCATTAGTTAAGTTTGAGAATGATGGTGACAAGGCTCTGGACTATCTTACCACTTAAATAATAAATATTGTTGTGAAACAAATTACCTATGTGATAGGAGCTGATAGAGGCATAATTGATATTTTTGACAGTATTTGTAAATGGGTAAAAGCATACGAACATGTGGATGTAAGTGCCGAAAGCTAGAAATGCAATCACTGGCAGATGAAGCTAAAATAGTATCAGTATTTATAACTTTTTAAAAAGTTTCAATACATAGAACCTTGCTGAGTAACTATTTATGGTATTTAATTTTCAACAACAAAACATGCATGTAAAAAGGGTATTTCACAAATTAAAACCTTATATTTTTATACTAATTTACTCATTTCTTAAAAACAATAACTGAAAATTTGTATAAATGAATGATTACTTTGTACATTTTGTAATTCTGATTATTTTTTATTAGTTTAACATTTGCTATAAATTCTCTGTATTCAGAGTCTAAAAACTTAAGAGTGATTTCATTGTTTGTTCTTCAAAATGAAGATAAACCTATCACATGTTTTTAGGAAATTCTTGACCAATCAAAACATTTGGTCTGAACTTTTATAAATACTTCCCAGCATGTTTCAGATTCTGAAACGGTTTATTACAGAGCAACCTATTTTTGTTTATTTTGAGCAATTTAGACTAAATCATATGTAACACTTGATGTCCAGTAGCCTGAACCCTGTTGAAACTTTTGAAAATGAATTTACTAGTGTATGAAACCAAGCAAATGTAGTTAGACCAATCAAAGTAAAGAATAAAGTTATTTTTCTTATGACTATTGCTGCAGAGTGCTGTTTTCCAGCAAGGAAAACATCTTCCTGCATAATTTAATGTCATAAATAGATTCATGAATCTGAAATTGAGTTTTTAAGAAAGGGCTATATTTATGGAATAGCCCTATTACCAGTGACAGAAAACACTTATATTAGCTGCATAACTGTGATCTTAATTTATTCCATTTGTATGTATTGTTTTGTTTGTTGAAGAATCCATTTATGTTTTGTGTAACTATGTTTTAATGTTATGTATATTAGGAATTAAAACAGGATGGGGTACCTGCCATGAAATTTGCCTTTAGCATTTAGATATCACTAAATGAATCAACCAGATTGTTATAGTATTATTATTCTAGTGTGCTAGGGGGTTAAACAGATATGTTTTATTAAAAGGTATTGCATTGTTGAACAGCTTTCATGATATTTAAAAGCTGGTAATGGAAGCAATTAGTTTTAAAAAGCTTGTTTAATCATTTGCATACTGTCATATTGTGATGTAAACAAAATTTTAATAATTTGACTGTTGTAATAATTCCCAGTGAATTTGATACTGATGTTGTGAAATGTAGCCCTCAACGATAACTTGTCTTTTGTAAAGCAAGCAGAAAGATTTATATGGCTTCTTTTAAAATTTCCCAAATATCTCCACCCTTTTATAGTAATTTACTTTTAAAAAATACAAATTTTAATACTGCATTTTGGGTTTATTTTGTATTGCTGGAAAACAACTAAATGCCCTTAGCCAGGATGTCTTTTAATATGTAGAAATTACGGAAAATTCAACAATTGAACTTGTATAAACTTGAAAAGAAGTTGTAAAAATAATGTTCAAACATATTTTTTACACTTACAGCATTGCCTAAATTTTCTTCTTTATTTTTTTAAATGTTTTTTTTTTTAATAATTAACGGCAAAGAAACCAATTGAAATAAACATGGACCTATCCCAACAATTAATTGCAATTTATCTGTTACTATAAAGCTACTTAAAGGGGCATTAGCTATGAGATGTAAAAAACATAAAAGTATGATTTTTTTTTTGTTCAATCATTAATGAAAGTGAAATGGTGAAATAATAATTCATTTTTAGCAGCCACTTTGGTTCAAATTGGTCAAAATAAGATCAGAAACATTACTTGCAAGTGAATAATTCGACCTCATTGAAACCATATTCATCTTACCTTCTATTTACTTAGCTAGAAATGGGTTATGCATGAGCTAAGCATGTCCAGCTGTTAAAAGGAAAAGAATGTCAGCATTGAAAGTGAAACAAGGATAAACCATTTGGTTGATTGAATCGATCCACAATAACTCATTCTCATACAGGTAAAAACGATGATTAACATATTTTTATAACCTATAATATGAAATCAAACAGACCTCTTACAATTCAATTGCACGAGTTCGCTATCTATTTATATCTATATGTTTATATTGGGTTATATGACCGTCGGCAGTCTTCGGAGGTCACCTTGATAGTTAATTAGATGGTGTCTAGACTAAAATACACACGAAATGCTGATACATATTATTGAGTACATGCATGGTAAATTGCTTATTTTAGACTTTTTATAATTTGGATACACATTTTAGTATGTTATAAATCAAATATGAGAATGTGAGTCAAATCGGTGAACACGAATTTGACAGCTACCGGTAATGCCCCTTTAATATTCCTTGTAGAATTGAACTGAAAGTTACAGTGAAACCAGCATTATTTTTATATTGTGATAGTCCAATATCACTTGAAAGAAGCTACATGAACAGTAGTTGAATATGTTACTATTGTCATTTTAAAGTGTTACCATATGATAAAAGGGTTTTTACACAGATACTTGTAAACATTATTTCATATACATTTTTTAATTGAAAAGCTTGTGCTGTATAATATTCAATTTTGGACACTATTGCAATAATCCTATATTATGTTCATGTGGGTTTTTTATTTAGTACTAAGTTATATAACATCAAATAAAAGTAGTAGTATGATCACTAGAAATGCATGATCACTAGACATGCAATGCAACACAGATGTTTTACATATCCAAACTAAATTACTATATGATATTTCATTATAAAACCTTGCTTTTAATGATATTGTGTTCATATTTTTTATTCGAGTGTAAGCTTATTTTTTTACCAATTTTGTTAAAAATGTGAAAGCATAGACTGGTGAAGTATTTTGTTTGTTTCATGCATGCAATTGTCAAATGATCTAATGATAATGTGTTGTTGTTTCTGGAAAGCAATGAATATATTTGACAATAGGTCCTGTGCATATTGAAATTGGCAGGAAATGTTACAAACAAACATATGTATGACAATTGATATAACTGTTATCTGTTCCTTTTAATCAGAGTAAAAAATCTGATATGTACTTAAATTTGTTTTCTTGCAATAATTTTGTACAAGAATACTGTGGATTCATATATTCATGGGTCATTAAATTTTGTCGAACCTGCGACTTTTGTTGCAGAAAGCTCGACATAGTGATAGTGATCCGCCGGCGGCGGCATTAGTAATTTCTTAAAAGCTTAATATTTCAGAAGGTAGAAGACCTGGATGCTTCATACTTTGTATATATATGCCTTATGATATGAATTTTCCGTCTGTCATATGTCCATTTTCCTTGACCTCATTTTCATGGTTCAGTGACTACTTAAAAAAAAAGTTAAGATTTTTTGTAATGTTAATTTCTCTCTTATTATGAGTAATAGGATAACTATATTTGGTATGTGCATACCTTACAAGGTCCTCATGTCTGTCAGACAGTTTTCACTTGACCTCGACCTCATTTCATGGATCAGTGAACAAGGTTAAGTTTTCGTGGTCAAGTCCATATCTCAGATACTATAAGCAATAGGTCTACTATATTTGGTGTATGTAATGATTGTAAGGTGTACATGTCCAACTGGCAGGTGTCATCTGACCTTGACCTCATTTTCATGGTTCGGTGTTAATAGTTAAGTTTTTGTGTTTTGGTCTATTTTTCTAATACTGTATGCAGTAGGTCAACTATATTTGGTGTATGGAAATATTTTATGATGTAAAATTGAGAATGGAAATGGGGAATATGTCAAAGAGACAACAACCCGACCAAAGAGCAGACAACAGCCAAAGGCCACCAATGGGTCTTCAATGCAGCGAGAAAATCCCGCACCCGGAGGTGGTCCTCAGCTGGCCCCTAAATAAAATTGTGTACTAGTTCAGTGAAAATGAAGTCACACTAAACTCCAAAACATATAAATGAACTAATATTTAAAAAACATACAAGACCAAAGGCCAGAGGCTCCTGACTTGGGACAAGCGCAAAAATGCGGCGGGGTAAAACATGTTTTGTGATATCTCAACCCTCCCCCTATACCTCTCGCCAATGTAGAAAAAAGAAACACATAGCAATACGCATAGTAAAACTCAGTTTAAAAGAAGTCCGATTCCGATGTCAAAATAGGTAACAAAAGAAACTAAGCAAAATGACAATGATACATAAATAACTACTAGCAGTTACTGACATGCCAGCTCCAAACCTCAATTAAACTGATTTAAAGATTATGTCTTCATCATATGAAAATCAAGTACAATAATTCCTGTTAGGGGTTTAGTATCATACCTTCATAAAATATATGAGAAGAACATAACTCGTTTAGGGGTTTAGTATCATACCTTCATAAAATATATGAGAAGAACATAACCCGTATCAAATATATGAAAAGAACATAACCCGTATCGTGCCAACAACTGGTTTTAGAATAAATGTGTTTATTTCCGATGCAAAGACCCTATGAGTGAATCAATATTAATACCAAAATATGCAATCCTTAATGACTTGACAACAGTATGGTAACTATATCCTTTCCGAATAAGTCTGTTTAAAGGTTTGGTTAGCTTTTGAGGTGAATGCATGTTAGTCTGGCAGGTTTTATCTGACCTTGACCTCATTTTCACAGTTCATTGCTCAATGTTAAGTTTTTGTGTTTTGGTCTGTTTTTTTTTATACGATCGCCAAAATTTTTTTGCGTTCGTATAATGGTATCATGTCGTCGGGGTCGTCGTCTGAAAACACATTTAGTTTCCGACAATAACTTTAGTTTAAGTGAATGGATCTCTATGAAATTTTACCAGAAGGTTCAATACCACAAAAGGAAGGTTGGGATTGATTTGGATGTTATGGTACCAACAGTTTAGGAATTAGGGGCCAAAAACAAGCATTTTTGTAGTTTCAGGACTGGAATGATTGTAAGGTGTATATGTCTGTCTGGCAGGTATCATCTGATCTTCACCTAATTTTCATGATTCAATGGTCAATATAGAATTTCCATGGTATGGTCTCTTTCTTTTATACTATAAGCAATAGGTCATCTATATTCTGTGTATAGAATGATTGTATTAAAGGTGTACATGTATTTCCGCCTTGGTTTATCTGACCTTGACCTCATTTTCTTGGATCATAAATGTTAATGTGATACTTGTAGTAAAACTTTATATGTAGGACTATCAACATAAAATCAATGGTCAGTATAGTAGGCGAGACATTTCAGCATGTGAACTCTTGTCATGGATTGAAAAAAACTTGTAATTTTTCATAGATATTTAATGATGTGGTTTTGCCGAAGTCTCTTTACAAACCAATAGAAAATTTGTACTTTGTTGAACATTTAAATTCAAGGTTAACAGAACTATGAAATCCATGAATTATAGTTAATCCACAGTATCTGGGATACTTTTTTTTCTGCTTTATTTAAGAAACAGAAGATAGAATTTATATGTATATCCAATCCATATATATTGTTACTTCAAATCCATTTGATATCTTGTAATATTAAAAAAAGAGATTTGTAAGGGACAAGTAAATGCTGCAAATTAAAAAGAAAGAAAAAAGAAGCAACACACATTAAGAAAAACAATTGTTAACAAAGAAAGATACATATACTTAGAAAAGCAAGAGGATACCAAGTGGCAATTAAAACCATATTAAAGCCAGACACCACCATTGCAAACTAGATTTTGTTTGGTCAACATGAATCCACATTTCCACTGCTAAACTGTTTAAATAAAAAAAAAAATCCAAGAGATAGTAAAAATTATCATGGCACGATTTTTATGGCACTATACAGATTTCTGGAAAAACCTCCATCAGGCACGCTCGTTACAAGGAATTTAATTTTCTATTCTTTTAATGTACTTCATGATGCGATTAAGATAATATACCGGTGATATGGGAATTGAAAAACAAATGGCCACCATATTGAGACATTAACTTTTGTCCAGTTTGGTAATGCAGAACACAACATATGAATTCACTCGGTAGAATATGCCATCCTTACATCTGATAAAATTCCAAGTTTTAGTGGTTACGTAGTGCAGTGGCGGATCCAGAAATTTTCCCGCTCCCGTCATGCTTCAGTGATTACCTATATAACCAACCAAAATTTTTCCACAAAAAAAAGGGGGCCGAAATCTGCCTCTGTAGTGGTCTCTGCTTTGGTTTCCCCTTTGATATTGTTGGTTTCTTCCATTTTACATCTTTATCTTACTGTAAGGTGCGAATTATGTAGACTACAAAGATTCTCCAGGAACTTGGCCAAATAAAGATATATAAGAAATGTCATCCAAATAATAAATTCCTTTATAGGACCTTTTCCAAAAAGAAACAAATTAAGACAAGACATTTTCTTATGATGCAATGATTGAGCATGGGCACTATAATGTCATTTCCCTTAATAAGCGATATTTAGTTTTTTGTTTTTAATTTTACATTTTATCATAAGAGATATGCATAAAAAAATCTTGACCATTCTATTTAAATCTGAAGAAAAATTTGGAAATACATTTATCATTTTTTCTGTATTTTACCGATATATGGACTTTTTAAAATTTAACATTAACAGTCTGTGGTGATTTTTTTTTATGTATCAATAGCTTTTACATACCTTCATGGTATGCTACGAAACTTGTACAGAGAGCTTCTTCATGACCAAAAAAATAGCATCGGAAGACAGTTTGAATTTATTTAAATTTTTCGTATTTAACTGGTAAATGGACTGATGGAGTTAGTTTTTGCGCCAACATTACAATATCACTGACAATCATAGTTGCCAACTGACATGATATTCGCGTGTAATACACGCTTTTTCAACGGTTTACACGCGAGGATTTTGTCACATGGCGTGTACACGCTTTTCACCACTTTACACGCAATTACACGCTTTTTCGATGTTTTGATTTTTTGGTCGTTAGTGATATCGCGATTCTCGGGTTTTTTCATAATTAGACGATAAATACCAAAAATTTCGAAGTAATTGTTTGGTCACCATTGTTTATTTTTCTATATGGACGAACAGCAAAAAGCATTTAAGGTAAGTAGTTTGTGATTAGTTTTTAGGATTTTGTTACTTTCTTTCTTTCAAACTCATGTAGGGGAAATGTCCACAGAAAGAGGTCGCTTTCAGGACCTGTACCGTCGTCTAAAGAGCCGATTGTTAAGTGAAAACGATGTGTACGTCTAAGATTCAAGATTTATAAATTATATTTGGGAGTTCGAGTTTAAATGATCGAGGGACGAGTAACGCATTGTGCACCCTATGTGCAATCATAACAATACATGTGAGAGGAGAACTACAATGTAGCTATTTGATTAAGCATTTAACGTGTTTAATGGTAATCAAATAATAAAATATTTTTCTTTTTCAGTTTCAAATCTAGCCAACAGATTTCCACATGCCATAGGGGATGGAAATATCACGGAACTGTTGGAATAGTTCTCATAGTACCAGCTGTCTTCTGATGAACTACCTAGTTTTGACCAGGCAATAGCAACATATATAGTTTGTTGGGAGCAATGGCAGAGATAATAGATGACATTTTAGATGGCAAAAAAAAACGTTATGACACTTGTTCAAAGCTTGATAAAGCTATTTTAGTTCAGCCAATATAAATTCTGACTGTGAGAGAGCATTTTCAATTATAAAGAAATTCACAATGAATTCTGATCAGAACTTGACAATGATATATTGTGTGCCTTGTTATCAAGTAAATGTAACCAAACTGGCAGTTGTTTTGAATTTGTACCTAGTGGTGTTGCTTTAAAAGCAGCAAAACAGACCACTGTTGAATACAATAAAAGTTTATAGTAGAATATTGTTTTTTATATTAACAAATTTGTATAATCAATATGTGAAATTATGAACATTGTTCATATTAAAAAGTCCGCATCTATGTCACGCGTTTTCACACGCTTTTTGACATGTCATGTCATGTCATGACATGATTTCACATTGTCAGAGGTTGGCAAGTATGCTGACAATCACCAATCGGAGGCGAGCAGTTTACAAATATGTGCTATTTTGGTATTGGTCAGCTTTCATTATCAGCAGAATT